GCCATAGAAATTGCCACAAATTGTGCATTGTTTCTGTTTTTTTTTTTTTTTTTCTTGTTTTGATACCCTTGTGGTATGGGTATAATAACATTGTCAAGAGATGTGTAACGCAAGTATATATTGAGACCTCTCTCAACAGATAATTTGATATAGCCATGCCCATCTGTCTATATCTGTTCAAGAATTCTTACAGCTTTCGTCTTTTGTTGTACATATCTAAGAATGGATGGGAGTACAATATCATATAGCTGACATAGTAATGATCGGCCGCATAAAAAGTTCTTGTATGCATAAGCCCTTTGTCTCAAGAAATCTTGACCTAACTAGGCATATAAAAGTTTCTATCAATTAAAACTTGGGTTTATGTTTTAAAAAACGTATCTGTTTTATCTGATATCTCGACAGCGACAAGGGCGAAAGGGCATTTAATCTTCGACGTGCTGCTTATAGCCTTTCCTCCTTATTATAATTATTGTTGTTTCAGCCTTTTGTTAGCTCATTTTAATTAAATTTAACAGCCTCGCCGCTTTGCACTTATTTGTTTAGCAGATTCTTAACGCAGCGGATGCCGACAATTGGCCGCATTCAAGTGTAGCTGGCCAAATATTCTGGACATTTGGCTGAGACTTTCACTCCACAAAACGCTTTAATTAAAATTGCAAAAAGAAAAATTAATTTTAACTATGTCGGAATTTGTTTGGCAATTTAACCGGTTTTTGTTTTGTTTTTGCAACAGCAGCAGCCACAGCCCGAAAAAGTGAAATTTTTTCGAACCGAGAACCCATTTTTGGCATTTAGCAGTTTGTTAGCAGCAAAAGCAGCTGAATTTAATAAACAAATTACCAAATACAGCGCTGCTTAAAAGAGAAATGTTAAGAAAACGGTTTTATGCAAATGCAAATTAAAGAGTATATCAGCAGAAATAAATCAACCTGGGAAAAAAGCTGCTTAAATATGTGATCGACTCCAGATGCCGCGGCAAATAAATGAGCACACTTAGGAAACATTAACATTCCATGAGCTAATCAGAGTTTAATCTGGTGAAAACTAAGCCAAAGTGGGTTGACGCTTGGAAATATATATAGATATAGATAGAACGAACCTTTCCTCATAAGGATAAATTATAATAATTTTATATAATACTTCTAGGCTAAGGAGTTGCAATATTATATAAAAATTGAAAAATCCGATTCTAAATGGATTTCATGGTAATACAATGCATGTGTAAAAGATTCATGATCATCAGCATTCGTTCGATATAAGCATTCGTTTACAATTCACATGAACTATGCTCAGCGTCGGCAAGTTCGTTACTTCAGTCTTTTGTTTTGCCACCGCATGCATAATGAGAATGCGAATCGGAGCAGATACGCGAACCGTATAATGCGACGGTATATATGTCAATTACAGCACGATTTTTGGCAAATTTGCTTGTCTCTGACACATTTCCAGACTGGCAGCGAATTGTAGGTCAGCTCCGATACCGATTTATGTCGTCGGCGACAATAAATTTGTCAGCTTTTTGAGCACCGTTAAGTAAACGCAATGCATGATTTGTATTTTATAATGAGGGCGAGCAGCGACGACGCCGACGACAACGATGATGATGATGAAGACATTGACAAAGGCATAAAGTGCGCGCGCATTCGACTTCATTTGAAATCTGACGGGATTTACAATTTATGACTGGAAGTTTGGCAAATTGTGTAAATATACTTTCAGTTTGTATATGAGGGCATACAAAGTGCGTTAGCCGTGAAATTGCCAGTTACCAATGCTCGCATTTAAGTCATGTTCAAAGCAAATTTGATCAACTGCAAGTTAAACAATTAGGCAAGAAAATTAAACTTTGAATTGCGTGCGTTTCCAGCTTTCCGTAGCTGCATATAATAGATAACTTTTAACTGTGTTGCCAATTTAGCTATTTTCTAGCTGCATTTTGTTCGTTGCTTTATACGGCACCCTTATGAATCTGCGAATCTGTTTATCGTAAATAATTCAAATTGTGAAAAAGTGACAAAAGGATATTGAAAGAAAAAGCAGTGCAAAAGGAGGCTTCGGCTTCTCTATTTAATTTTGCTATTTATATGTATTTATAGCTATTTATACCGATTTATAGCCATTTAAAGTTATTTAAAGCTCTTCAAAGCTATTTATAGCTATTTTCAGATATTAAGCTATGTATAAAATAAGCTTTCGCTACTTTTTTGAATACACAGTTGGCAACACAGTTCTGTAGTTGTATTTACATATCTCCAGCAGCCGCACAGTGCCCACAAGCTGCGAGTGTGTGTGTGTGTGTATCTGCGTGTGAGTATCCGTGTGTGTGTGTGTGTGTGTGTGTAAGCGCTCTAGTTGCCAGCAGGAATCAAAACATCACGAAATCTCGTTAAAAACCACAGCGCAAAGCAAATACAAAATACAAATATGTGCCGTTAGCTTTGTTTTAACTGCTGCCGCTGCTGCTGCTGTTGCTTTTTACGAATGAGAAGAAAACTCAGTAAAAAAAAATATATATTTATATATATATATATAATAGACAAACAGAAGCAGCAACAGCAAACGGCATTGACCAGCCAAGTGGACAAGTGGGCAAGTGGCCAAGCAGCCGCTGCTTTTGGCCCGGTCAATTGTCAGTTATTTGAGGCTTGTAGCCAGTCTTCATAATTTGCTACAATTAATTTGCGCGCGCGCGCTCGTGTGTGTGTGTGTGGGTTAACGCGATTCAATCACTTGACAAACTGCAGTGCAGGTGGATAGACCAAAAACAGCAGCAGCGCACTTTGACCTTCGCCTGACGGCTAAATGAAATGCAGCTCAAGAGTGGCAAAAACTTCACAGCTATCTCGGCTGGCAGACACTCGCAGCACGAAGTTCGCTGGCTGTCTGCCATTTGAATGACGTGCAACAGCAGCAACAATGGCGTGCAATCACAGCAGCAGCAACAACAACAACAGCAACAATTGGTGTCAAATGCTACCGTAACACGCCACGGCGCATAGCTGCTGCTGCCAGAATTTATTGGCGCTGCTTGAGAAATTGGCCCCAACATAAATGATTATTATGGCAACTAATTTCACTCGCTGCTAACAGAGAAACCTAACCCTGCCACTGTCAGCTCGTCTCATCGTGTCTCTCTCGGTGGAGCTGCTACCAAAATGCTGCGCAATTTGCAACCGTTTGCTGCCGAAAAAAATATAAAAAAAAAACAAACAAAAATGATAATACAAAAAAAAAAACAGTAGAAGCAAAAGTAACATCCAACAAACCCGCGCCGCCCACGCAGCCCATAAATAAGTCAGCATCAGCAACAGAGTCGCTTAGCGCAGCAGCAGCAATAAATCTGAGCGCGTGGGCCACGGCCAAGCGGCGTCGTGCGACAAATGTCAGCGGCAAATGAGGCCACGCCCCAAAAGTGCGTCATCAAGTAGGAAGCGCTAGAATCAGAGACAGATACACACACAATTCCATCTCGTGGCCCCCAAGTGCGTATTAAGCCGCATTTTAGTTTTAACAAGACAGAAAGTCAATCTTCGAGTCCGAATAGTAAATACCCTTGTATTCATCTCGTGGCCACCAAGTGCGTATTAAGCTCAATTTCTATATTTACTAGAAAAACAAAGTAAATCTTCAGCAAGACGCAGAATAAATACCCTTGAATACTAATTTTTCCACAGATTCTTACTATAGGGCTATATGATTTTAAGACGTAGCTCATATGCAAGGAACATGTCGGACCTCGCATTTTCTGAGCGCGGGCAAGATATCTTGGAGAAGAATAGAGTTTATCCAAGGCTTACAGGAATTTACTCATAAGTAAGAATGTCAAGACTTTGCAGCTATATAATATGGAGCTCCAGTAAAGGGACTGCCGCAAAAGAGAGACAGACCTATGGAAAGTTGAATAACAGTATCTTTAAAAGTCAGAGCATGGACGATCTGCGGTGTCTTTTTCAATTCGTTAAACATTTGTGGATACATTTATAATACCCTCTAAAAGTGTATAAGCCTTTCAGCTTTATGACTCAACTGGAAGTGGCCACAAACTATTAAAGAAAGCCATTAAAGAAAAGTGAGCGCGTCTATTTTTTATAAACTGTTTATGGTCATAGAACTAGGTCTCATTACCATATGTGACAGCTGAACACACACACACACACACACACACATGTGTGTGTTTGTTGTGCCGTTAAGCCAACGCATTTAGCACTTGGCCTCCACTTGGCCACAACTTGCCAATGAATTGACACATTTGGCACAGTCGCAGCGAAATTTTTGGGATTATTTTTAGCCAGAGCAATACATCTAAGCCGCACTGACAGCAATTCCAGATGTGGCAGCGACGTTGAGAGTTTCGCAGGGGATGGCGTCTTAAAACTGCGGTCTGCACAACTAAAAGCTGTACTTAATACAATATATTATGCATACTTATATAAAATCAACGAAAACTTCCGATAGCTTAAGGCATAAATTTTCAGATGAACTGACAAACAGATGCTGCTGCTCTGCAGCTGAAATTGTTGTGTTTACTTTAAAAGGCAGTACATTATTCAAGTGTTTACATGTAGAGACAGCTAATGTGAAATTTTATCGTTTACAGCAGTAGCAACTGCTGTTAAAGCTCACTAAATTTAAAGCTATTATAATTTTGTGGAAATGTGTGCGACAGGCAGAAGTAGACTCAGATGTGCACAATCTAGATACACTTGATCAAAACTATTAGCTTAGCTTAGCAGGAGCCAAAGCTTAGCAGGAGCCAAAGCTCGTGTTATGGGATGGAATATTACGACCTGTTTCTATATAGAATATTTGAGAGTACCATTTTGAAATGAAATCTTATTATCATAACCTAACTTTAGCAAGGCAAAAGTTAACACAAACATATTTTATACTTAGTTGCCTTTGTCAGCATATGGCTAATGCTTAAATTTCTAAACTGCATTTTTAATATATCATTTGCACAGCTTACAAATTGCTTAAGTATTTGTTGTTTAACTTACCCATAAAAATTGTAAATCCTCGCGCTGTGGCACTTGTCAACTGGTAGCTGAAACGACAAAATTAAACAAAATTTATTATAAAATAAAATTATACTAAAACCGAACACACAAATCATGTAGTTTTTTGTAGAGTTAAAAGATGGAATATTGTTAGCCAGACTTCTAAATATTATGCACAATTTGTCACGTCAGTTGTTGACTTAAATTATCGCTCGAAACTGATCTATGAGCTGTTTGAGCACACGCACACACTTTCTATGACAAATTGGCGACCAGCGACGCTCAAATTAGACTCAAAATCATGTATGTACACACACTTCAAGCGGCAGGCAACAACAACAACAACAACAACAACAGCAACGACAACACGTACTACGATTCGCTTGTTAACTCATCCAAAAAGTAAACCACATTCTTTAGAGCATTTGAAGAGCAGCAGCGGCAGCAGCAGCACCAGCAGCAGCAGACAACAGAAAAAGGCTACACAAAACAACATGCGAGGCATAAAAAACACAACAGCAACAACAACAACAACAACAACGGGAACAACAACAAAATGTTGGAATAAAAAACACGTTCAGCGCGTGTAGCAGCAAACATGGGAGGCCAGCCAAGCGGTTGAGGGGGGCGTGGCATGGCATAGCATAGCATAGCTTTGGCTGCCACTGCCAACTGCCGCCAACTGCTGCAAGCAAATGCAAAACAACATTGAAAGACGAGAAATCTGGCTACTGTAATTTGTCTGCCCCGCCATAGACACAGACACGCGCGCGCTCGAGCGGCCGATTTCAATTCGGTTGTGTCCAAGTGCGAGTCCAAGTTGAACGCCAGTTGCAATCTGCTGCTGCATGCAGCACAAGGTGGCAGGGTGGTGTGGGGTTTAAGGAGGTGGTATATAGCTAGTCTGCGGCAATACGGCTGCTCCACTTTTGTGGCGTGTGTCTCTCGTTGTGCGCCTCTCTGTCTCCAACTATTTGGCTCCAAAACAACATACAACAACCGGCAGCGACGTCGCTTGGGCCGCCTTTGTCGCTGAGGTCAATTTTTATGTTGCAGCCATTTTTCAAGCAAACACACAAAAAGCTTCGTTTCGTTAGTTTCGTTGGGCTTTTTATTTATTTTTTTCTATTTTTTTTTTTTTCGGGGCAGTAACATTTTTTATATTGTCTGGCGCACTTAAAGTTACGTATGTGTGTGTGTGTCCGTGTGGGTTTTGTTGCAGAGTGCAGAGCCAACTTTGCAGCTTGCCACTTGGCCGGCAAACACTTCAACTTCAACTTCAACTACAACTACAACTACTATAACTACAAAACTGCCTCAATTGCTTGACACTTCAGTTGTAATTAGTTTTGTGGCCATGCATGAAAATATCATTTATTTTTTAATAGCTACACATGAAGACGATGACCACGTGCTCAAATGTAGTTTACCAACTGGATTTATGAATTTTGAGCAGAACAAGAGAATATAGTACATAATCAGAAGCTACTTCAGCCAACATTCAATCAAAAACAAACGCTCGTTAAAGTCTGTTTCAATTTCTAAAAATATCACATCTCATTTATATTATATAAAAGAAAGCACAATAAAGCTTTAATTGACTTGTTTAAGCTTAAATCTAAAACTTAAAGAAGCAGCATTCAATTCTGAAATGTATTCAAATGAACATCGATAACAATCTTAAAAAGCACATTAAATTTTTTATTGACCTTAAATGTCTAGCAATAAAATCTATAAATTCAGCTGCATTCAATTCTGTAAAAGCACATGAAAGCTTTAATATACTTATATAAAAGAGCCTATTTCCTATTAAATTGAAATTTGATTTAAATTTCTTTATTGTATTTCTAGCAGTTTCTCCTCCATTCAAACGCAGTACTTTAAAAGCATATTAACTGTACTGACTACATAAATTTAAACTCGCTTGAAGCTTAAAGCTTCGTTTTAGCTACATTCCCTTGACATATTATACTATTACTTAAATTTCATGCAGTGTGTCCACTTTACTTGCACTTGGGAATAAATTAGTAGCATTTAATAAAGTTGAATTTTCTGTATTTGTTGCCAGTAAACTATCAAACTAATGACATTGTTTACATGCAACCTTGAACTATTGCTCGATGAAAGCTTTCGGCAAGCAGACAATTTTGCATGTACACAACATAATAAACAGGCCTTGGCATAAACACACACACACACACACACACAGACACACATACGCACACACAGAGAGAGAGAGAGAGAGACACTCAGTTGTAACAATAAATTGCTTGTGTGTGAATCCTGTTCTCCCCTGGCACTTTCAAGTGTCTGCCAATCAAGGCAAATCAAGTTGAAATTATTGACAATAACAATAATGGCAAATAATAATCAGCTGCTGCTGTTATTTTTTGCATGTGGCATGCAACGCTGTCTGCCAAGGGCCACACAACTTTGGCAAGAAGAAAAGTGAAAATTCTTGTGTTGCTGTTTTCCAAGTGAAACTGCAAGGCAGGTGAAATAAATTTGTATCTGATACTTTTACTTGCCATTAAGCAGGGCTTTCATATATGCCACATGAAGTAGCTGCAACTGCAGTTGCCGTTGCCGTTGCCGTTGTTGCTGCTGTTCGCACATTTTCCCATTTTGCCCGGCATGAGTTTTCATAAATTTTGTTGCTACTTCTGTTGTGTTGCATTACATTTGATTACAAACTGTGCAGCCGACATGTGCCACTTTTTTTGTTGTTGTTTTTGTTGCCGTTGAAAGTAAAATGAAACAGCCACAAAAACAACTGTAACTGAGCATGCCATGCCGCATGTGGCATGAGTAGCATAAATACATGCATACGTATAAAACCTAAAACCTATGAGAAATGCATGTAAGTGTACTTAACAACAAGTAGAACACATGGCAGCAGCAACAACAACAGCAACAACAACAACAACAACAACAGCAACAACAACAACAACAACAACATCTGTAGCTTGCATGTTGTAAACTTTCAAAGGCATCGAATATGCGGCGAATGCTTTTTACCAGCAAAAATATGAAAAGTTTAAATATACAGGTAATTACCCTGGGCACAGCTTGTTGCCAGTTAGTTGCTGCTGCTGCAGTTGCAGTAGCTACTGCTGCTACTGCTATTGCTGCTGCTGCCTGCATTTACATAAAGTCCATTTAGATCACAAAAAAAAATAGACTGACAGTCAAAGCGAAAAGGTAACCCAAACGAAAAACAAATCAAACAAATTCTGTAGTTGGTCTAATTAAATTCCTCAGACATAATATTGTGGTGCTTTTAAATGTAGCCAGATGGACAGAGCGGCGAGGCAGGGACAGGAAGAAAGAGCCAGACAGGAACAGGGCGAGAGAAGAAAAGAGAGGTCAGATTGCAGGTCCAAGTCTTTGGCAAACACTCTTCAAATGTTGTTACCGGCTTCACTTTATGATTTTGCGTGAAAAGTTTCAATGCACGCAAAATCGTGAAAAGAAAGTGCGCATAAGTTTAAAGCATATACGACTAGCTAAGTACACTACAGCTAAAACAAAATTATGGATCTGACTGTGTAAAGATAACCTGAAAGCTGCCAGCATTGATTAATAAATAAACGGGCATTTAGTTATTAAACCTATCTCTAAGTTAGCCTGCAGTGCTTGCAGCATATACGGCCAGTTACATACTCTACATTTTATATGAATACCAAGGCACTTCCATATATTTAACCGCATTATTAACTTGCATTAATCATGTTAAATTTTCCCCTCTAGCACGTAATCAACATGCCACATAATCAACATGCCCCACATTTTTGCCACAATCTGCAGTGTATGCAAATATATTAAAAAACAAAATGAGAAACAGAAATCATCTTTTTGCTAGAGCAAAGTTCATCAAAACGACATAACTGCAGTTGGCAGCGAGCAACAAATGAAGAAACTCCGCCCGCCCCGCCACAGCTCCAGCCCCGGCCCAATCTCAGCCCCCAGCTAAGCCCAGCCAAGCCACTGAGCCACTGAACCACTTAAGCCACCCTTTTGGCCACCCACTTATAGAGCGCCGACATTGCGGTAAATGGAACGCTGTAGCTGTTACAGATTCGAGATTGAGAACGGGCCACTTGTGCGCAGTTTTGTGGCAAACAATGCATATGACAAACTTTTGTCAATTTATTAAAAACTTTTGCGCGCGCACAAAGTTAACCTGATTCCCAGCAGAGCAGGCGAGAGGTGAGCAGAGCGAAAGACAGAGAGTTGAAGGAGAGATGGGTAGGAAGAGTGCGATGCATGGCAATTGCAATTGCAATTGCAATGGCTGAAACTGGTCAGTCAAGAGGCAGCAGAGTAGCTAGAATAGCAGCAGAAGCAGCAACAATATCCCCGTTGTGCATTGGGCTCATCAGCAAGAGCAACAACAATCAACAACCGAGGGGCAGCAACAACATCAAACAACTTTCGTTGTTGTCGTTTATAAAACGAGCGCATAAATTTATGATAACAACACACAAAGGCAAACGGGTCGCAATTGGCCAAGTGATTGCACATCCAGATGCCGCGGCAATAGAAGCTGCAACTGGAGCTGTTGCATCCGCGTTGCAACCAGCTGCCCAACTGGTCGATGGCCAGTGCCAAAGCTGTTGCAGTTATGAATTATGTCAAATGGCATAATTGCCAACTCTCAGCAACAGCGACCGTTGCTCAGGTCTCAGGTCTCGGACATCGCAAGCCACAATATTGTTGTTGTTGTTGTTGTTGTTGTTGCTGGTTGTTGGGGGTTTTTTATTTTTTTGGGGTATTGTGCTGGCGCGTAAAGCAGGAAGCAATAAATTCTATGCATTGCACTCGATACAATTTGTAACTGATAGATAGCCAGATGCATGTAGATTCCAGATAGATAGATAGATAGATGTTGGCCTGGCGACGAAAAGTGCACAGGAAATGCGCACAGCTGTTTTGTGGACGCAACCCGCCGCGCCACCGCCCATGCAGCGCCACCTTTACAGCTCCTCACCTGCCGCTAATGAACGCTTGGCGGGCCGCGTGCAGTTTAATTAAATTTAGTTTTAGT